TACTATTCATAGTGTTCTACCGTATTGTTGTCGGTTTCCACCATAGCTTGTCTCCATTTGCATGTTTTTGAGATTCACGCAATATTCATTGTAATGCTCAATTTCTACAAAGTAACTGCTGTCAGAATGCCGGCATTTTTCTTGTCGTCCACAAAAGGTCCACCAAGAAAGAGAATTGTCGCCAAAAGAGTAAGCGTGAACATACGAGTTAGTCTTGCATAATTATGGATTTAATTTATGTAGTATTTTACAGGGACTGAAAGATGGAGATGACAAAGAAGCTAGATTGACTCGCCGACGGCGGATGATGGAAAGGACTGAAATAAGCTCAGACGAGGAGGAAGTACTTGTGTTCCTGCTTTATTTAATTTACTTGTAATCAACATTCGTTTAGCTTAGTGTAGCAGACGATCGTATATCGGATGTTAGCGAAGGTGAGTACGAAATTGAGGATCTCGCTCGCCTTAAGGCAAAAGAGTATCTGCAAAAGCTGCATGTACGTTTAACTTCCACATTTTCTATTTCTTCTTTGCTGTTAGTACTTTTGAGTTATGGGTATGACGCACGGTATGACTTTGTCATTTTTTGTAGGAAGCTGGTAAAACTGAGGAAGAGATTGGGGAGACCCTGAAAGAAGATGCAGCTACAAAGGCGGGCACGTTGCGACGGCAGTTAGCTGACTTGGCAGAATTACGCGATGAGGAGGAAGTATCTCATAGAGGACATAGGTTCACAGTTTTGGATCATATCTACTCTTTGCCATTAGATGTTAAGATTCTCATATCTAGGTTTACTCCTCTATGTGTTGCAATTTCACCATGTGGGAAATACGTAGTTAGTTGTGGAAAAGAGTCTAGTATAGTTAAGTGTAAGTTTTTTTTAACCCACATAGATTTGCATGTGCTTTAATTTTCATGTTCCAGATGACATTACTCTTCGGAAGATTGTTGGAACAATTAAGCGGACGAAGACTGGAGGAGAAGATCAGAAGGCCCATCATGGTCACATATATGCTGTTGCTATATCGTCTGATGGCAAGTATATAGCATCTGGTGGATATGATGCCGTTCTTAAGGTGAGCTCTGAAAATATTTGTAAGTGTATGCTCCTGTCTTGTGTAAAGTTTTGAATTTACGTTTAATTTTTGCAAAAATCACAAAA